CTATAAGGAAATATTATAAGGTAGAATCTGCAGAATTTCCGAGCCATTGAAACATCAATTGATACTTGCCTTTCTTTGGTATAAAATATAAGCTTTTCAAATATTGAAAATCCATTAACATTTAAAACAATTTTTTTAATATGTCGGTAGGGATGATTACGAAAATGGATGAAAAAAAAATACATTAGATAGATTTAAAATTCAAACATAAATATAGTATGGAGAATTTACAGATAAGAACAGGATTTGTATCTACGACCTCAATAATGCCCTGTTCCAGGTGCATTGTTTCACTGGAACTTGATAATCCTGGGATTGCGAGTTCGAATCCTGCTTTCGTAGATGAATTTTTCATTCTATATTTTTTATTTGATTTTTAAGTCAGGTTTAAGCACAACTTTTCTTTAATATTTAATATGTAAATATTAAATACACCAATATGTAGTTACATTATTTTGTAAACCGCTGTGTTATTTTCATACATGAAATTTTTCTAAATTAATTAACGTTATTAATCATATATTTTTATTACATTAATAATAATTCTGTTCCATGGTATATTTTTTAAATCGTTTGTTGCATGATGATATTTACCGTAACTTGTTGTATATAATTTAACTAATAATGAAATTGCACAAATACAATAATTAATTATTATCAAGCTCATTTATTTTTTCACAAATTACTTATTTTATAGTACTAATATGAAATGATTATGTTTATTTTGCCTTCATATATTAGAACTATATTTTAGATTTATAAAAATGTTTTAAATCTTAAAATTAAGTCATTTAAGTAACATGAAAATAGTTGAATTGGTTGACTTTCGTTATATTTTGTGGATGACTTTCTCTGACGAAGAATGAATACAAAAATATATGTATCATTTCGCAGCAAGTCCAAAAAGAGCGAAGAGATTTATACTGGCCTCTCTTGGTTAATTAAGTGTTATGAAATCATTTTTGGGTAATTGTCGTGTTTTACAACGCCATTAACTTTGTACTTGTACTCTCAGACGATTAATTAAAGATTACTTTTATCTGATTACGTATGATATAATTGTATATATTTTGTGTCTCTTGCTTATATATTTTTTTCAAATCAGTTTTCTTGAGAATTTTTTTTCAAAAGTTATTTAAGGGCCTCAATATATTCTGATAGTTAGTTTAGAAATTATTTACAACGGTGGCATGGTGCATAAATTTTATCTAAGCATTTTACAGCTCCATAATTCAATTTATGAACGCAACACTTTTTTAAAATGAGCTGCTTAGTATAAAGTGGTGTTAAGGGAGATGAAGGTGGGAGTTCGGATTTTACAGTTTTCTAAGGGTATATATTCTTAACGTCATAAAACTTAATCTTGCTAGTTTTATAAATATACTAAAGCGTAAATTCATATTGTATCAACTATGATACAGTATGAAGCAAGATGGTTACCAAGTCGTCCTGTTTAACCAGGTCTACAGTGTACAAATGGCGTTTCTTACAGTATTTTCAAATAACAACAGAAAGTTCTTAAAGTCTGTCTCGATGGGATATTTGGAGGAAATCCAAGCTATTTTGTGACAAAGCGATTGAAATGACACAGTTTTCCGAAGGTAAATTATATGAAAACAGATTTATGTGTAGGTATTCGAAGACAGTAGTATAGAATATACAGTAGTATAGAAGACAAGATAGTATACGATAAAAATTAGTGACGTATTTTTATAAAAGAATAATATATGAAGAAATAACTGAGTAATATGACGAAGTAAATATGTATCTTTATCGTATAAACTTAATTTTATATAAATTATATATTAGTGTGAAAATTTATGTTATGTATTGATTTAGAATGTACTACCATAATCTAAATTCGGAAGTGTATATTCAAATAACTGTATATACAAGAATGCAATAAAAGTCACTAACCAATTAACGGGATGCCCGACGTTTCAGGAGTGCCATAGTTTAATTGTGTGCATCCCATAACAAAGTGATAATGATTAACAATCGATTTTTGTTATGATTAAGTAATGATATAATATTCTATGACTTATAATATTTTACTTATCAAATTATCTAGCTTAATTAATATTTTTACATATTTATAATGGAACAAAAAAATAAATTAAAGATTTTCCATATGAAAGAGTTTTTATTTTATTTGAATGCACTGAAACGAAAAAAGTATATATTTTAATTTAAAACTTTCACTTTCAGCTTTTTATATATAAGGATATTTTATTACGTAATCTTAATGATATAAAATAATATTCTGAAACTTATTAGTTTTAATAATTTAATAGTTCAAAACAAACACACGAAGTAATTTAATTTTCTTATTTTGTTTACAACTAAATCCCAATTAGACAGAATAATTGAGATATCATCTAATAATCAATAAACCGCTTCATTTGATACCTATACTGTAGCAGTCCATTAAAACTAAACATGAGTTGTCATCAATATTTAAGTTATTTACAAAACATCAAGACTATTCGTTGGAGACATTTAGTTCGAAATATTATAGAGAGATCGAACTTAAACAAATTACATAAATACGTATGTATATCCATTGCAAGATAAATTAAACCTTAAAAAAACAGTTTTTTAGAAGGGATATAAAAAATGTGGCATGGCAAAAAGCTTTTGAGGACTGCTAATATCCGGCTACGGGTAAGTTCTTGTTTTTCTCTTCATGGCGAAGTTGACTGTTGAAAAACTTCTTAACTACAAAGAGAGAGTTGTGGCCTCCTCAGATTGGTTGCCGGAATTGTTGCGACGACTTTTAAGTACTCCTAATTTCTAGTTCGGAAGTTGCGTGGGTTGTCTATATAAAGATATCTAAGATTTCACGAGTACACATTCAAATAAATCTGTGTTTTTTAATGTTTATGCTTATTTAATTATAATTTCCAAATAATCTTTAATTTTCCCAAAATGGTAAGTTACGAATAATTTAATAATTATTTTCAGATTTCCTAAACGATATATTAATAGAGAAAATGGAATAAAGGAAAAATTGTGTCTTAAGAACGGAAAAATTTGAAAGTTACAAAAGTTGAAAAAAGTATATTCATGGACTCTGTAATAAAATAAAAGTTAAAAGAATATGAGAAATTAAAAAATATTTAGTCGATTAAAAGCAACAACAACTAGTTACAAGTATGTGACAATGAGGAAACAATTTATTAAATTCGTAATCTGTAGAGTCCTGTTTCACTATATTACATATTGTATTGCTTATTTTGCACTGTTTCCATAAGTTTATCCAGACCCAGTTCATATAAACGGTGGGGCAAATTTGAGTTTACATAGGTGTCAAGATTAATAATCCCTATTCTAGTTTTCTAAAATTGTTTGAAAAAAAATTTGCCTACCCAAGTGGTTGTACAAAGTGGTTTTAAATGTTTCTATTCAACTGGTATACAATAAGAGGTATTGAATTCCAATCCTAGCTCGTTAACATTGCATTAGGGCATGAAATACAGCTTTCATTACGATGAAAGCCGTTATAGTTAATGTGCCGATCGCTGTGGTTTTTTTGCTTTCATAAGATATTTTCCAGTTCAATAATATCTTGAAATACTTATTAACAAGAAGGTTGGTTTTCAATTAGTTTAACCATTAAACCAAGCTATTGTCATGAAATAATATGGCTTATTAAAATATTTTCAAATTTTTTGGAAAATACATACGAGCAACTTCATTTAGCTGTTTTCAGCCATCAAGCATTACCAGTATCAGGTACCAATCTAATTTATAAAAGTTGTGATTAGCACTATCACTGATTTTATTATATTTTTAGTTTATTTAAAAAATAAATATTTACAATAATTTAAATTCAACAGGAATTTGTATAAGCTTTTGTACGCTTTTGTGTGCTTGAATTTTACTGAAATCGTATTGTGTGTTTTTGGAATTATAAAAATTTAAAAGCTGTATTTCACTGTAATGAATCTTTTAAATGTACATGATATGTTCATTTATAATATTATGTATTTTTATTGTTAGAAAGAAAATAAAATATAAAAGCAATATCAATGTGTATCTTAGTTTATATTAAAAAAAGTATATTAAATATTCCCACACCTTATATGATATTTCGAACATTATGTTAATAGTCAAAATACTTTAATCTTTTCTCTTTTAAATCACAAGAAGAATTATATACTGGATTGAATTCGTTTATACAGATTTTAGTGTCTAATTGTAAGTTATACTTTTGCTAAAACTGTGAACAGAGAACACAATGTAAAAGAATTATTAGGATTTTATCGTGAATTTTTTAAATACACAAGTTAAGTCTGAAAATACTTTTTCTTTTAAAACATGCTATCCATAAAAAAAATTAAAATCATTATAATAATATTAAATATTTACCGAACTTAAATATTCTTTCTCTTTAATATTTGAATTCTGCATCGAACCATCTTTAAGGAAGATTCACAGATTCATTTAACAATCTTCAATCTGTTAATTCTTATATAAAAGAACTTTCTTTAGAAGAAAGATTATTCAAATAAAATCAACCTTTTTATGGCTCCATGGATTGATTGTATTTGACATCTCTCCTAGTCTTTGAAATAAATTATAATTTTTCCTACAGCTGAATCACGTATATATTTTTTTCATCTCGTTATTCGGTACCGTGTTAGCCAGAGAATTTTTGGTATTCGTCGTAGTTGAAGAAATAAAATATTTCTTTTTTTATTGTTTTCCACACGAGTCACTTAATACAAAAAAAAAAATAAGATTGTATCCTTAACAGTGGCTTCAAGCTTTTTATGTAGGTGGCCAAATTAATTGTGTGATTTTTATATTAAAAAATATATATTCTTCGCAACAAATTTTTAATCTTCTGTTATAACAATCATTCAAAATAACATAATAAAACACATAATCTTAAATATTTGTGAGGTCACAGCAGCACTGAAAAATTTCATTTCTTCAATGCCATTTCCTTATATCGAATAATAAATACAATGATTTAAAATGGAAGTAAGATAACATTAAGTATTACAATATTTTCGACATTCTGGACAGTACCAATTTCCGTCAGGTGCTGTTACAATACCGACACATTTGAAATGATACCATTGCAACGTACATTTCGGTGAATCACATCCTATCATCGGCGAATCGTTCTCGTCCTTCCCACAAAAGCAGTACGACGTATTGACTTCACTATCGTCGATGGTACCATCCGTTGGCAACACATTGCACAGATGGGCGGCGTAGCGCCATCTCTTGAGTCCGCACTTCTTACACCATAAGCTTTCAGTACCGTGCCGCCAATACAAATGTGCTACTAGGTCATCATATTTATAGTAAAACATTGTACAACGACCACATCTATAAACTGTGGTTTCACCGCTAATTGGTTGATTCATACTCGTAGTTGCTTTAATAACGTTTAGATTTAATTTGTAGTAGTTCAATGAAACGAGATGAGCTGTTACATTAAATGTGAAATATAAATTATCACACGAGTATTTAAATGCCTTTAAAAAGGATTAAAAGGGTGGGGAAGCTCATTACTACATAATTAACAAATTAAAAAAATGATAATAAGCAAATATTTATACTTGACGATTAATTAGGATTATCATTAATAATAATTAGTTTATGAGTTACTAATTGTCCTAATTATACTACTAGTTACTTAATTATTTCTAACATGTAATTTGTATTGTTCAGAATATAAAAGTACAACTATCATAAATATATACACTTTTAGGAATGTTTTCTTAATAGTCTTAACAATAATAATAACATCATTATTTCTAACTACTTATTTTGTTTAAATTGTATGTATTAATTTTTTTTATAACTATTTATTGTTGGTAGTTCAGTCATTTGTTACAAACAATATAAATATCCTTTTTAAATATAAAAAATAGAATAACAAATAGGTTAAATTTATACATTTTCTGAGCAATTTTTTCAGAAAATGTAAATGTTTACGAAAATTGAATTTTATATTGTAAATGTGTAGCATATTCCCCTCGGGGGTTCTTATAAGAAACTAGATTCTGCTTTGAATAGACGTTCTTATCATTTCAAGTTGCAACAGAAAGAATCGACTTTACTTCAAGCTGTAAAGTTAGAGTCTACTTTGAACAATACAGGTATTATTCAAAGACATCCACTTTACGTAGCTTATTAAATGTTAAAAAGTAAAACAGTTTTGTTTCTTGAGAATTTTTATAGCGTTCAAAGTTTTCTTGTTTCTTTTGGGTGCTAATCTCTTTAGATAACATAATATTTGCTATAAAAAATGTGTAAAAATTTATTCCCCCTTTTAAATAAGGTTTGTAGCCGTCAAAACCATTCAAGGAGTTAGAGTTCATTGGGTGGAAATAACAAAAAAGATAAAACTGTTCTCTCGGAAAAGGGATATTGAAAGAGGTCAGATATATTCGTATTCAAGGCAAACGTTGAGGCGTGTTCGAGACAGCGGTTATTCAATGGTTTGGTTGGCCCTGTTAATATTCAGTGTTACTAGATCAGTTAGCTTCCTCCTTTTTATAAGTATTTTTTATCATATACATTTCATTGTGCTAAAGGTAATATAATGAAAATTATGTTTTTAAATGAACAAAATATAATATGTATAGTTATTATTAAGTTACATCTACCTAAACCTTCAAGTATGGAGTTATCTCAATATAATTACGTTTTAGATTTACTTTACTTTATGAAAATACAATTTATAAAAAAATTCAGATTTTTAAAATTTTATTTGATTGTTAAATGTGTTTTATAAATTCTAAGTGAAGTTAGTAAATAAACTTGCGATCATTATCAATTTAAGTAACATCTTTATATCAAACGCTTGCGGCAACTACATAAATTTATTACTAAAATACAAAATTTTTCTTTAAACCTATTAAAAATAAACTTTTTGCATTGACGTTCGGTCTAGAAATTTAACTAAAATGTCATTAAAATATCAATTTGAAAAAATCGAATTTATTATTATAAACAAAATTTTTTTTTTTTAACATTTAACAATAAAAGATTCATTAATTCAGGGAAATATAGTCATCCTTGAACTCAAACCGGCTAATTTTCAGAGCGTGTGTAATGGACTGAGTCATTTCCGTACAAAGCAGTGCTAATGCGCGCCCGTCCGTTGCACTGACCCGCAATTATATTTGCATACGGCCATCCTGTATTCGGACATAAATGATACGTAGAATCCAGACAAAAGGTTTAAGCCAATGGAATTTGTATGACTGTTTAGCTCTACTGTTCCAAGCCTGGCTTTACATTAGATACGTGAAATGATGTATGAGATGATCCTGTGTAATGTATATTTACACCAAAATATGCAACAAATTTTACGTAAGCCTTATGTGTTAGTTAAACTCAATATTATTAATAAAATCGTAAATGAAGGACGCGAAGCAAAATAAATTATTTCACATGATGTTAATACTCTTGAATTTGTTTGTCAAATATTACCATAAAGCAATCAAGGCTTTCCAATTCGTAAGAAAATTCAGGTAGTGATTATTTTATGTAAAAAAGTATTTGATTCAGATCTAGGTATTATTGATTCAAAGTCTTTGAAATGATAATATAAAATGATAATATCACATTCATTATTATTAATAATAGCTTCTTGGGGGAGTTGATTCAAGTAATGTTAATAAATATGCTAATACCGGCGTCCTGGATTTTCTTAAATCTTCATCTTTCATATATCGGCAAGGTAAGTAAAAAAATTCCTTTAATGTCACACTTTATCAAAAATGTGATTAATGATCCAACTTTAATATGAAAATAAATATCATAATACGCCATTAAGGTGAGAATGATAATGTGTTGTTAAAATTTAAATGGATGTTCCAATATTGATGATGCTTTAAATTAATACCATAGCATACCCTTCGTCTCAGCTAATTCAACAAATAAGGACATGTTTCACAAAGATGACGGCTTAATGAGAATTGAAGTGGGAAAGTTACTCGCTTCAGGAGCGCTACGATGAAATTTGCGTTAAATGCTTATTTACACGTGTAATTACATCATAAATTTATACTTAACTGTTAGATATATACTTGCCAGTGATAAATTAGGGAAATGTGACTTTTAATTTATTATAATTATTCAATTTCTTGTAGTATACTGATATTTTAATTATCAATTTCATAGTTATATTCCTACTACATTCAGTTTGTGGTTTGCGGTAGTAATTTTCACTAAAGAATCGAAATCGAAAATGTGTTTAATTAATTTAATTTAAAACATGTAAATTTATTAAGTTTCATATTATAAATAAATGCTGGGAGATACATAACAAGTAAAGCTTTACGTACATTTAATGATTTTAATTTAATCAATTGTAATATTTATTTCATATTCATATTTGTTACAATATTTTGAAAGTATATTGAATTTATTAAAGGAATCAAATAGAAAAATTTTTGCGATACTTTTTACTTCTTTTAGCACTTAATGTTACTCGGAATGGAACGAAAATACGAAAAATACTACCTCTAAGTCACCAATTGGATCTATTGATCCAAGTCTAGTTTCAAATTTGTAGAGCGGTGTAAAATCGACACGGAGTTGCATTGGCACAAAGCACCATTAATACAAGCTTCTTCGTTACACTACATTGTATTTAGCAATCATTTTCAAACTGTAAAACTAGTTTTTTTTTCATCTCTATTTTAATTTGTGCATATTTTTAATAGAAATGGCTTTTTATTTACAAACTATTTTTTTATTTTATTAATAATAATGGTTAGATACTGTGAATTGTTTTGAATTTATCATTTGACACGTTAATTTTAAGAGAAGGCTAACAGTAAAACTATTAAATAGATCCAAAATAAAAGATCGCCTATTAAATTTAGACTCTAAAATTTTTTTAAAGGTAAAGAAAAGTGCCAATGTAAAATTAATTGAAATCGTTAACGTTATCTCAAAAAACAACATAGTACGTTATTATAAATAAAAATACTTATTTAGTTTTTGATGTCAGTAATGACAAATTAATGTTAAACAAATTAAATATTCAACAAATTCATGAATATGACTATAATAATCATGAATAAAAAAATATATGTTAGGAACATACATACATATTTAAACAAAGTCCGTGTGTACACATCATTTATTTGTTCAGTTTGAAGTGCCCACTTTATAACATTGATTTATAATTTATCTATGATATGCTTTGATTCTATGAAACTATCTGTCATGTTGACTGATTGATACAACATGAGAAATATACAAGCTTTGTTAAGTTAAACAAGTAACATTGTAATTTTAATGTTCAAATTAATAGGAAGTGATGAAACAATAATTTCTTACGTTGTTTCTCTATTCAGCTGAGTTTTTTATTATTTATTAATTAGAAAGAATTTGTTTCTAGTATATGTAAATAAAAATAACTCTTTTAAGATCAGTTTTACTGACCACCATATTATCCAAGAATAAATTAACATATATACATATAAATATATTAAATAACTACTGTTATTTTTTTACTACGAATGTGAAATGTACCAGTCGGTCTTATATCAGGGAATGAGATCGCACTCCACTCTATTTTCGGTTACTCGTGGAGCTGTTTCCGTACAAATGTTGCGGACTATTTTATTTGTACGCAAATTCGATCGCTCGTAACACCGAGCTTGATGGAGTCGGGGTAACGACCGCACTTCGTTTGCTCAACTTATGAGCTTCATTTCCTCCACCATCTCTGTCCTGTGGACCGTCCTTATTTAGATCTTTTACGTTTATTACAGATTTTATATTCCGTGTTTGTAGTTTTTCGCTTTCGTTTATATATTTTGGAATATACAGTTATATATATTTCGGATTTTATTTTTATATTGATTAGAAAAAGTACATGTCTTATACTTTAGTTTAATGCCCAAGTAAATTTTATAAATATTTAACTATTCTGTCAACTTTTCGTTCTTTTCATATTCTGTTTGGTTCAGAACGTTTCATAGTTTAACTGAGTTTTTATATTCTAAAAACAATTTGTTTTGTTCTCTAAATATTCGAATCGTTTAAATAAAAAACTATTCAAATGTACAAAAATATGTAAATTAAATTTTATAGAAATCAAAACAAGTAAAATAAAATTAGCTTTTCATCGTAAAGAAAAGTTTCAAACAACCTTATACTAAGTTGTAACTAGTTTTTATTCATACCTAAACTGAGGACCAAGTCCAGACGGGGCCCAAAAGGAGTTAAAAGTAATTTAAAGTTTTGATTTGATCTGAATCAAATCTTGACATCCCAATAAAATCGTTCACATCACGTTCTACTTTGTATGGTAAACAAGTAGCGGAGTCGATGTAAAATAATACAGCTGTTTCTAGTTCATTACGTGCTTCGACTTCAAGAAAGTTCCTTCCTTCGA